AAACTGGTTGAATAACAAAAAATCCTTATATTCCTAAATGTATTGTTAGAAAATATTCAACAATTATCTATATCGAATGATATGAAACATGATATCTTGATTTATTTATTTATTTATTTATTTTTGCAGTATCGCCCAGCCCTATCTGGTGATGTAAAATTTCTGAACAATAGCTATTTAACAGTATTTTATTTTAAAAAAAGAGAGATTTTGTTAAAAGATTAGATTAGAAAAGTGTTATTCATTAGAATTATAATTTTATTAATGTATTTTAATATTCTTCGATGTCAGTCAGATTTTAAAAATACTGATTATGGCCGGATATTGTCAAATCCTGTGGCTACCTATCACGAACATGATCAGAATCATGCAAGAAACATGAAACTAACAGAGTGTGAGACTTGAAACAGTTTTGCTTGTTTTTACCGATTTTGATCCGCATATTAAAATACTGAATGCCTGTATGCCATTACAATGGTTGATCTTGTCTAATAGTGCATGTACAGTACATACTAATACCAATGAGGGTCAGTCATTTAGGCCATCCCTCAACATGGGAGCTTGAGCTTTATTTAAGACCTCATATCTGCAGTGAACCACCAGTTCTACACTTCCTACAACTCTGCTCCCTCTGCGGTGATAAACACTCAACATATGGGAAATTACTGTTGGGTAATAAAAGGTTGTTGGCTTTTGCTGACATGTAATAAATTAGGCAGTTTGCATAGGAGAGCTGCAACAGGGGCTCCTAAGAAACACCTATGTGGTGTGTTTTTTTTCATGTACACTGTCTTTTTTTTACATTATATCTCTCATAGTTGGTGGTAACACAGTGGGGTATACACACACAAATTACACACATAAAACTCCTGAAGCCTGGAAAATATTTTAATAGTTTCCGTCCCCCCGCCATAACAGCCGAGAGCTGAACGTGCCACACTGGTGAACTCCTCGAGTATTACTGGTGCAATTAAATGTGAAACGCTGGGAGGAACAGGAGGGAAAAGATGCCCAAAATGGCAGTAAACAAGGGAAATGACACTTGACAAGTTGTAATTTATTGACGTTGTTTGAAAGGGAAAAAAGACTCACTGTTTTACAGAGAGAAAAGCGAGACATGGGGAAGCAGGCGTTAAAGAAAACCATTCATAGGACGCAAATGCATCAAAAGCAACCCAGAGCGGAAAGAGGGAAAGAGAAAAGAGAAAGGCAGAGAGAGATAAAGCGACAGGGGGAGAGAGAACAGTGAGACTTCAAAGTCCATATGCAATAAGCAGTGCACACAGAGAGCAGTGCACATGATAGGACAGAGCGCAAGAAGGGCCCCTGGAAGATTGTGCATGGGGGTCTCTTCTCATATCATCCTGTCTCATCTCACAGAATGGCAGATTTCAATCAGCAGCCCAATGAAGAGCGACCATTACACAGACTGCAGAAGAGAGAGCACGAGCGATCAGAAATATACTTACTAGCGGCCCAAAAATAAAACAGCTAGATCTGAAAACGGCAGCAAGTAAAAACCACCAGTTACCAACATAAACACGCTTTTAAAATCATATAAAAAGCTTGCATTGACAGCCCTGTAGAAGCTGAAAATGTAATTGCATGTCACGTACGGCGATAACAGGTACAAACAACTTGAGCGAATCTAGATAATAAGTCCAATTAGGTATTATCTTGGCTGGGAACGAGAAGAGCCGCTCTGATAATGGTGTTATCGTTCCATCTCCACACATATGTCCATTACACCTCTGCATCTTAGCACTATTAAAAGTGGCAGATTGATAGTCATTCAACCAGTAAAAGAACTCGGAATAGAATGTAAATTGTTCCAACAAAATGCACTGTCACCAATTTCAGCTAAAAGAAAATAAATAAATAAAAAAAATAAATAAATGTGAATAATAACAAGTGCACCGCTTCAATTTGTGCCTGGCAGATGGGTAATGGAATGATTATGGGTATTGTGTGATAAACTGGACATGTGTGAGCGCGTGTCTGTGTGTCTGAGGGTGTGTGTCTTCTGTCCATTATCAAGCAGTGATATTGTTACACAAAAAAGTATGTGCTTTTTTGGACTCTTTACCAGAGAAGTGGCAAATTGTATGATTTCTTTTTTCTCCAACATAATAGTGAAATGATAGGTATCAAATAGAGAGTGAGGGGCTAATATAAAATAAAATAAGCCTGGAAGGGTAACAAAAAGGCTATAACTTGTAATCATTGAACAAACTAGTGTTATATCTGTGAGTCTAATAGCTTATCTGCCTTTATGCCATTTGACACAAAACAAATTGTGTTTTGTGTTAAAATGATTATACTTTGTGCCAGTTTTTTTTAAGATACGAGTAAAACAGAGGGGATTTGAGCTGTTTTGGTTTATTCTTGGCCAAAATATAATTTTGGTTTTGTATTGATTTAGGATCATGAACATAGTACATGCACACAAAGTTTTCACACTGCTGTGTTATGAAATGGGTTACATTAAGTGTAATAATGTAATGTTTTTAATGAACAGGGATTAATTTGACTTATTCTATGGTCTTACTTTCCTTATAGACATTTTAGTCTTTTTCGGTTTACTTTTTGTGATCATTTTGGCTATGAAAAGGTGGCAAAATGTGTGTTTTTAACAAAGTTTTAGTAATTTACCCTCATTTCCTTCAAGTAATCAATTTTATAGTAGCTACAGAAAAATAAATTGTTTAGAGATACCAAATGGCATTTTTGGTTTTTCATTTTTGTTTTTGGCGGGGCGATAAACGTTTTTAAGGTTTTTAACGTTTTATGTTCTGCTCTACCGTTCCTTTGGTACATGTAAGATTTTTCCCCTTTTTGTTTTTGTTGGTTTTTTATTACAACAGTATCTCTAGCAGAAAAGATCTTCAAAGATCCCATTTTAAATTTGTTTTTGAAACTAAGAAAGACAGCGGAAGTCAATAATTAATTTTAATTATTTTCCCTGACAGCGTATCAGAATATCAGAATCTTATAGCGGCCCATGCCTACACTCCATATTCCTCTCTACATACAGACGTAGACAAAATTGTTGGTACACTTTAATATTGTACAGGTCAGTTTCATTAGTTTGCCTGTATTAGTGCTTCTTTTGAAAGCAAATTTGATTTCCATAACTTTATTTTGAGTATTTTTTTATTTTTCAGTTTTAAGTTTCATCTCAGTGACCACTGTGTTGTTTTTCCCTAAATGGAAGGGTACCAACAATGTTGTCCATATCCGTATGTACACATCTATGCATGTAATCCTCTTGCTTATTGGAATAGCAAAATCTGCTCAAATAATGCACCAAAAGGACACTTCTGTGTAGTATACTTGTTCCTGCTGCTTGTGTTACTGTGTTGTATTATGGCAATTGTTGTTTTATGGCAATGCTGCTAAAATTATGCCTCTTGATCACTGATCTGCTCTCAATACATGCACTAATAACAATAGCTTTGTAAAACTACACATTATGAAGAAGATAAATAGCTTTATCTGATTCTGTTGCATTGACCTGAAAAAAGATAAAATATTGATTTTTAATGTTAATACAATGGTGGCCAAAATTGTTAAAACACCTGACCTGAAAATTTTGACCTTATTTGACCTTTTATTTAATGATTTTCTTTCATGCATATGTTTATTCTGCGTACAGCAGTTGAAGCAAGTCATAGTATTTTAATTCACTTTTAACAGGAATATTTGATTTGTCCACCTTTTGCAGTAAATACTACAGTACAGCACATCTACTGGCATAAGTATGTTTCCTGAGAACTTCAACACAGATGGTATTCCATACCTGACAATGATTACACATGTTACATTGACAGTCAAATAGGGATAGCTTGTTTTAGCAAGAACCTAAATCTCCTGTTTATTCAAATAAATTTATTGAATTATTTTATTTTTAACATTCTGTTACTGTACTTGAATACTGTTAAACTCACTTTACTTCAATTGCATATTTTTCTTGATTATATTTATAGATTAGATGTGTTGTGAGTATTTTCATGCATAACAAATACAGAAATGCACTGCAAATAGCACAGATTACAACGGAAATGTATCGGGGGACCCCAAAAAGTTTATAGATTGCTTTGTTTTATCTGATTGTTTTTAGATTTAATAGAGATGCAAACAGTAAACATTAATTCATCAATCTTTTACTAAACACATGCATGAAAGTACTCACAACACATGCAAACACAGAAATGCACTGCAAATAGCACAGATCACAACGAAAATGTGTCCCCAAATATTGTATAGATTGTTTATTAGATTTTAATGGAGATGGACTCACACTGCAGAATCATCCCAATCGATCTAACATTATAAATTCTTTCCAAATAGACATATTAAGTCATCTGGTGAAATTGTATTTATATCACAATGTATATCTCAAAATAAAAAATAAAAATATTGCAATGTTAATTTTTTTCCAATTGTGCAGACCTAGTTTACAGAGCACAATGATTACTTTGCTAACATTTATGTTTTTATGGGTATATTATAACTGATTATCTGAGAGCTGAATTATTAAATATTAAATTTGTGAGTGTGTGTTTCAGTTTGTTTTATACTGAGAAATGTATATGCCATTAGTGAATAATAGAAATAATTTTAAAAATTGCATCATGTAAACAAACTAATTTAAAGGTCATAAGAATTTAAATAAATGGAATTTTAAGTTATCACCAGGACTACTGAAGCTGATAAATATTTATTGGTGAAAAAAAAGATTAAATATGACTTTTTTCTTTGACACTCACACTGACATTTTTGTCCTCAATGGGTCCATGTTTAACATTTTTATATCAGTACAAAAGGCTTAGGGCAACTACATGGAAAACTATATTTTTTATTATTTTTTGAAAATATGCAATATTTCTTTATGCATAATTTAATTTGTATCTGTCAAATACTGAAATGATAGGTACCAAAAAAATTGCTAGGTAGATTTATATCTGACAGTGTAAATACATTATCTGCCTTCATGCCATTTGACACAAAACAACTGGAGAGATTAAAATGATTACACATTGTGCCAGGTTTTTTACAGACACACTCAAATCTAAAGTGATTGATCATAAAGTTCCAATTTATCCTTAAAAAAAGGAAAATATGTTTTCCCAAGTCTTATTTGCTAGTGGGAAGCATGGCACTCTGCACTCTAAATGAGGAGAGCAAATGTGCTACATTAGAGGTGGGGAATAAATATTCCAACTCAGCCCAAAGTGTCTTTATTTTGACTCAAATGTGAGATATGCCGTTGCCATGGTGACATGGTGCCGGCTGCAGTCCTCTCTCTCCCCAGCTGTTGGGAGGTTTTGTCTGTGTGTGTGCGTGTGTGTTTGTGCAAGCCCAAGCGCGCACATTGAAGCCCCGCTCTCGTGCTGTGTTCCCTTTTCAGCCGCCAGAATAGAGTCTCAACTAATCCGTGAAAGTTGCGGTGCTCTGAACCGCCAGCCAAGCCTTTTCCCACTGAATTGAGGGCCGGGGGTCTGCACTGGGCTTTACACTTGATTGGTCTTCGCCGTGGCAAGACTCCCCTCCCCGCTGGGTGTGGGCCCGTCCCCCTCGCTGTGCTGCTCGGGTCTAGGCTAATCGGCTTCTCCCCGCCGTAATTACCCACACCCGGCCTGGGCATGCTGAAGCCACCAGTCGTCTCTGTCTTTTTCTTCATCCCGGTCCTTCGCCACTACTGGCATCATGGGCTATAGGATGGCACTGATGCCAGTGGTGGCCCAAGCCTGTGTAAAGGGGATGGAGAGTGGACAAGAAGGTGGCCTTACAGCTGTCCTCTTCTACACACACAATCCGAGGATGATTGGTTTATTTGGCACAGCTCGTCAGGTAATAGTTCATCTCACAGATGCGAAAGCAACTGGGTCAGAATGCCCGGTAGAATGCAATTGGAGGAGTCTATTTTCATAGTGCCAGTCAGGGTAATGCTTTATTTTACAGTCCATTTACACATGTACAGGTACATATAATAATTGCAATAACTCAGTAAAAATGAGGTGCTAACCCTGAAACTATCCCTAAATTTAACTTTACAAAAATTATTACCTGTACCTTATTTTACCTATTAATTTCTCAGTACAGAGAAAGTGCACGAACTGCAAAACAAACAGAAAACCCCAATTATTTGGAATGATTATAGTAAATGTAACATTAGGTAACTTTACATTGGTCTTCACCAATCCACATCTCTGGTACAGCAGTGGTAACAGCAAACACTGTGACTGAGAATATTCTTTGTGCCCCAGATTTACAACAAGATCAAACAGCTCCTCTGAGAAAGTCTTCATTTTCATTCAGCTGGAAAATGAGTGAGCCATATCAATATTGAGGTGGCTCTCTTAAGATGTACTGTCATATTTCTAGAGCGCTGTAAGGGCAAAAAAGAAGACAGTTCACACAGATTACAGGATCTAGAGCTCTTTTTGTGGGAAGCGAGGGACAGCAGAAGATGTGGAGTGTTTATTGGAGTCCCATTTGCTACTAACATCTTATTATGGAGATTTTTTAGTCCCTCCAAATCAGTCGGCAGTCACTCTCACAAATCCTAAGACCCCCTCACTCAGTCAGAACAGATCAAAAGATAACTCACATTTCAAAATACGTAAGGGGGAGAGAAAAAAAGAAAGAAAGAAGAAAGGACAACAGAAAAAAAGAAGAGAGCCAGAAGGGGGCATACTGCTCTCTCTTTACATAGGCGAATAAGGCGTTTTAAGCATGCCATGTGTGTCTCTTTCCCTCTTGCACCACCCAAATTAACCCCCCCAACTCCCTCCTCCCCAAAAATGAAAAACCCATAATGAAAAGCAGCCATTGTTATTTATAATTTTATGAATTTAATTTTCAACAGCACATCATAAGCGACCTCATAACGAGTCAGTAGTTAAAGGTCCATTCATTGGCAGGACCAAATGAAAGGTCTGGAATCTGGCTTCTAGGAAGTATTGAGACCCCCTTGAAGCTAGAATGAAAGGTGTAAGTTTAGCCTCTCAGCTGTGCGTCTCAATCCATAATCCGGCCCCAAAACCCCAGCCGGGAGCAGCCTGACACTCCCATGGCGTTCCTGACCAGTGAAGGCCTGGCCCATACAGATTTATGGAGTCCAGCTCTGTGCCTTACTCTCCTAGTTGGACTGAGACTTTGAACCAGACTACAAGAAATTGCACAAGATTACGAAGAAAACAGATATCGGTGACTCCATGCATCATAACGCACAAATTAACCTGGAGGTGTATAAAGCAGTGAATAAGGTGAGTGTTTATGTATATGTCAGTGTTTGCTATTTTATAAGTAACATGTAAGAGCCTTCTTGCGTCATGTTGTGATTTATATATCTGATCAGTTGGATAGGTGGCTCTAGAACGTTCAAATTGCGTTGACGTGGACTTGCGGCTAACTGACATGGAGGCATTGTGGCCAGGCCGAAGATGCATTCGCTTTAAATGGACCACTGCAAAATTAAAACAATATTCAATCTCCATATCTCGGCTAATAAGTGTTTTTTGAGGGCAGATTACATTACTCACCCGATTCCAGGGCGATCATGAGTTGCAGATGATGGATTTTCATGTTGCTGTGTTGGCAGAAAATAGACGGTCATATGGATCTTGTGCTCTCCTGTGAAAATATACTTGTGGAAACTTCAGCGCTGACCCGGCCTGTCAAGAAAACGAATTAAAAATGTATTGATTCGCTAAAATATTCCTGAGATGCAGAGATGTTAAAAAGGCTATGTGATTTGGGAGCTTTATTATTAATTAAGGACATTATACATCTTCAAAGGGTTTTAAAGCCTTTAATTGCAAAAAAAAGTATCAAATTAACTTAAATCGCTATTTTAAACAGTATGTGTGCTCACACAGAATTTTTTAGCTGCTAGCCAGCTCCTCTTCAGATAGGATAAAAAAAGTATGTACCTGATTGAAGTCCTAATGAAGCAAAGAGATTATATCATCGTTTGATTAATACATCCACTGGCGTGTCACTTGACTAGTTATTCGCTTTAACATTTTTTGTCCAACCTAGATTTCCACTTCTGGCTGACTTTGTCAATTCAGGATAAAGTCACCTCTGGACAACAAGCTCAGTGTGAGAGCAAACGAAAGTGTGTGTGTGTGTGGACATGGTGGGTGGGGGAGCAGGTGTGAGATTGGCTCTTCAATGAGTCTCATCTTGTCCCATGTTGGGCGCTTTGCTGCATTTTTGTGTGTGTGCGTAAAAAAGAAAGAAAAGAAGGGAGGCATGTGGCGTAGCCATCACTCAATGGTGTCTTAAACATTCTAAGCAAAGACGGGAATCTTCGGTATTCCTTCAGAATGTGCATTTTCTGGACAAAATGAGAATGTGTTTGGTGTGGCATCATAAACAATGCATAAAACGAGGCTTACAATACCAATGGAGGCACATTGAGAGGGAGCCAGACAAAATGGCTGCCTCTTTGTGCGCTAGCGAGCAAGAGCTGTAAGTGATATGATATTTGTAGTAACGCAGTGCAAATCGCATTTCCCATCGCATGAGTAATCGCACACAGATATGAATAGATCGTGTTTTTCTACATAATGACAGGAAGATCTATCATTGCTTTCTTGATTTATCCACAGCCAGGATGTTATTTCCCGCAGACACACACCCCCGCAATACCCCACCCACATTTTGGGTACCTTGTTTTGTTGAGTTAGGGGGGGGGGTTGCTGGTGATGTAACACTTGTCCTATTTTGAAACTAAAACTTTACCCCTTCTGCTATATAAATTTAACGCAACTCCATTTTATGCACATGCAACTATTTCCTTTTCTGCTCGCCTGCTTCCTTGGGAGATCCATACAAATTTTGTTTCTCCACCTTTCAATAATAATGAAGGAGATACGAGTTTCTTTAAACCATAAACATACACTGTTGCATCACTCTTCAGAAGAAAATATTATATATATGGGGCTTGTCTTTAAGGCTACAGGGACATTGTGGAGTAATCCATCTCTTAAGCTAAAAACTAACTTTCATTAAGACCTATTTGTTTGTAAAATTTGACAGCCTCATATTGGAGTCTCTTTGAGTCTTTGTTCTTTAAAGCTTTCATAAAAAGAGAAGAAAAAGCCTCTTTATCCCATCCACTCACTCTCTTTTTCTCTTTGTATGTAAGGTTAACTTTGGGATCATGTGAGAGGGTTTTTTCTGTCATTTGGAAGGAGAAGAAAGAGAAAGGTAACTTTCTCTTCTTCACTTTCCAAATCTCCCAGGTCCAGAGAACTTGACTGGAGAAATGGGAACGGCAGCACAGTACGAACTCAATGTTTGCTTTTGGACTTTTTCATGAGCGGACAGAGAAGGGACTCATTCCAAACACTACAAACGGCATGTGGACTTAATATGGAGGAGTAGCACTCACATTCTTTCATTCTATTCCATTCGATATACACAGCAAAATATTTTTTGAAAAATGAGAAGTAAAAAAGCAGAAATAGCATTTATTTTTCACAATACGGGACTTTTTAAATCAAAGATAGGCCTGTTTATAAATTCTTTGAATGCACATGAAAAAACATAAAATTGCCCCCCAAATGCCCCAAGCTAATTTATACAAAGTTTTTCATAAATAAAAACACTTTTTTTAAAGGTTCACAAGCTCCCAACATGCATTGCATCAAGTGCATAAAGAATAAGTTACGCGGTTACTTTTATGACGTTGTTTGCCAGCTTTATGCAGTTGTTGTTGTTTGTTCATTTTGCGGTGAAATTCAGAGCACACTTTTTTTATTGCTAAATATATGTTTATTTTTGACGGGGTTGTTGGGGTTAGTCTTAAGTATTGAGGTCAACATGCGTTTTCAAATACACCCCATTCAATACTTAATTTTGCATTTCAATTTAAAGCGGGAGTAAAAATTACTGCTAATCTACGACAAATTTTAATTTGTTGAAATATTATATTGCCCTGACAGCGCTTAATGGACAAAACGAGACATTTAACAAATTGTCTGAAAATAAAATGTAGAATATGCAGACACCTTAAATGTATTATATTGCCATATATGACTTTTTTACGTTTTATTGTGATCAATAAAAATGTACTCATTTTTTCTTGTTATTTATAAATAAAAATATTTATTTGCATTTATATATTTCTTCTATTATTTACCTTTTATTATCATTTTTTCATATAATTTGTTTTAATTATACACGCACATTCTACAGCCCTCACAGCTTGTTTGAGACTAAACAAATACACTTTTTGTCCTTTTAGCAGATGAGAGTTTAGCATATCGCTAAATAGTGCAGATGTAGTGGTGCACTATAATATGATGAGAAGGAACAGATGACTGTAAATATCAATTAAAGGAGACAGAGTTTGAGTGGCACTCAGTGAAGAAGTGTAAAATGAGCTGATGACAGAGTCTGATGTCCCTAACACTGAGGAACATGTGAAAAACAGATGGTGTGCTTTCATTCAGCATTCTCCTAGTGTTTCCCTTCTCACACAGAGGAACCATCTGAATAAGAGAGCAGTTTTGATCAGGCCTGCGCCTCTTTCGATTCCCTCCTATCATTAAGTATGATTAGTTTATGACTCAGTATAAACCATTCATGACCACTCTCCTTGAAGAAGTAAAAAGCCGGACTGGAAATGAAAGAAAGTTTTGCCAATTAGATTCTGTCATGAAATACCTAATGAACCGAGCCAGCTTTTGATGCTGCGAGTAAACTTTACCAACAAGATAAACAATACAAGAACTGCGACAAAGTCCTGTGAAACAGATGGAGAAATCAAAACGCTAAATAAACAAGCTGAGAATGCATTCATGGCACACAAAAAAAGATAATGGGCACTCATTGTTTTCAAAGTCCTTTATGCATCTATAATTTCAACTGTCTGTAATTCGAACAACAAACTTTGCGCTAATTAAAACTAGAAAACAAGCAAAGAAAACTTGTATGACATGCATTGTAAAACTTTTCAAAACAATGATACTGCCCTCAATTTAAATATTGAACAATATCTAAAAACGCATAATATTTTAACATGATTACTTATAATATGCCTATTAATCTACTTATATTTATTTTATTTCTTCAAAAGGAAATTGTTTTGCGGTCTTTACAAAAAAAGCGTACCTGTTTTTTCCTCATCATAATGCGATGTTATACATTTAATTTTTTTAACATGACCTCCAAATACTTGACAACAATCAGTATTTTTAAAATAATTAATTTTATGTTATCTCGTAAATATCGACTAAACAGATCCGCGTAGCAATTTTCTTTAGAAATAAATGTTAAAATACTGATGTACACAAAAAGAAAAACAGGACAACATCCCTTTAACAGCACGCAAATTACTTTTTGAAATGTTGAAAATGAAAAATACAGGAAAAATGTTTTTTTTATTTTTTATTTAGCTTAAAATCAAAATAAAAATGTAACAATTTTAAGATATTATTAGATAAATATTTTTAAAACGCGTTAACGGCCTTGTCGGCAGGTTAAACATTTGCATCAATGCAATAAACACACCATCGTTTAACGAAAGACATTTAGAAAATAAATTAATTCACTTTCTTTAAATCCATTTATTTAGTTATTTCTGATTTAAAGATGGCATAAATGTTATGCCGTTGACCATAATTCCATAGTTTTGTTTATTTCTGTTTTATTTATCTAAACTGGCATGTGTATCACGCAGTAATGTGCGGTGTGTGTTTTATATTATCATAAACTTTATAATATAATGAAACATGGTACAATGCGGTTTGTGTTTTTGCTTCCTTTATTTTTACCAGATGTAAATCTTTTTTTCCACATTAATGTTTTTAAGTATAATTTAGATATTCAACTAACAAATCAACTGTTAATTATAATAATTTTTATAAAATTGAAAAAATCTATCATTAAAAATTGGCAGTGTTTAAAGAAATTAACTTAACGGCTAAAAACAACACGAGAGCTAAGTTACTATAAGTTCAATATAATATCACTTGATGCTATTATAATAATATTCAAACTTTTTGTTTAAATTACGACTTTAAAAAAATAAGATTTGAGCAAAAACATTGCTAGACATAAATGCATTAAAAAAGTCATATAAAAGAAAAAATACAGCGTTCGTGCTTTATATCACTGAAAATCACAATACTTTTGTTAACATTAAAATAATATTAAATCAAACAAAAAAAGATAACACTTTATGAATATGACTGTTCATCCTCGGCACACCCGTCGCACACATAAAACTAAATCATATCAATATATAAAACACAGACATGCACACAACAGCAATTACTTCAACAAGACATTTTCTAATAGTAATCTATACCTTTTTTAAAAGCGAGTCGCTAAAAGTCAAAGGCAAGATATGTTGGCAAAAGCACAGCCTATTCAGCCATCTTAACTCTATTACCATATTTCCTCACAGCAGATGCTATGATTTGTCTGTTAGATTTGTCAAAAACGCATCTCCCATGGTTCACTGTTGTCAAGCACTTTGTGTTTAGCAGGTGACAAGTCAAAGTGTAAACCGGCTGAGGGGAAGATGTTAAAACCCTTGCAGGAAGATGCATGTGGACCACTGACATGCAGGTTTACGGCTATACACTAATGAGACGCACTTCCGAAAAAATAATAATAAAAAAAAGTTGAAGCGACACGTAAAAGCAATCAAGGACAATGGCAAATGAGGACAAGTGTTGACGTCAGAGCAAAAAGTAAAAGAGGGCGGGATTTTGGGGAAAACTATGTTTAAGGGCAACAAAAGTGGGTTATATTATTTCTACGTTTTTTCTATGACTCCTAAATTTGCTCACATCCCCTGAGTCAGGCCTGTGATCTGCCTTAGAAGAGAAAAGCAGGTCACATTATACAACCAGGAAGTGGCCTGCCAATGTCCTGCAGCTTGTTTATGGAGACATCTTGTAGTCAGGGTGAGAGGGTCCTGTCAGGGAGCGTCTTCATTAGTGGTCACACATGGTGGGCACAGGCATTCTGTTCATTCACCTCATGCCACTAGAAACTGTGGCCAGGACCCCTAAAGCCACCCGTTCACCTAACACCTCCAAGCCCGCCTGAAGCTGACAGCCTCCCACCAAAGCCACCACATTCGTCTGCGGACACAGCTTTAATTGGGTACGACACGGACAAACTCGAAAAAAATGCAGGCAAACTTGCAGGGTTTACTTACAGGAAAGGAGATTCCTATCTAAAATCTGGCGAAAGTCCTTCATTTTCCATGAAAAAAGCCCTGGGAAAGAATGAAATGCTCACATCTTCTAAAACTTGACATTAAAATTGTGAGCGCTCAGAAATCGTAACAATGCATTTGCGGTTATGGATTGCGTGAGTATGAGCTTGAATCTCGACTGAGCGTGGTCCATTTCGTTAAATAACAGAATGCGGAATGCTCACATTTTTCGACATGCTGAGACCGGCCATTCTGATTACCTTTTAATCTGAGGGCTGAATTCCAAATGTGCCCAAGTTTCCTCTGGGGGGAGCAGCAGGAGGCGCTGTAAAGCAGTTAGCCTTTTGATAATGAAGTGCCAGCAAAAACAAACATGGCTGATGAGGGGGGAAGGGTTAGCACTACCTTACAGTTGCTCGGCACGTTAATGCAAGATTAACATTGAATGAGCATTGGGAGGCCACGCCACTGATATCAAATAGATATGAATCCTGCCCACAAGGCTCGACAACAAAGAAGAGTTAGCTATGACCTCTGCTCACTCCGCAAAGTCATAAGCGTGGCTTCATTACGCACAATGCAGAGGAAAGGCGCCATTACTGGTAGTGTGAAGCACAATGCAAAGTGCCACATCAAGGTGTTCAGTTGAGGTGTGAAAGCACATTCATCAGAAAAAGGTTGTTTTGGGTTATTATCACTTTCCCTCATTGTCAACATGGTGGCCTAAATAGAGCATTCACTGCAGAGAGAGTTTGGGGAGGTTTCTGTCATGGTCGTATTAGTTTTTGCATTTACGTAGTCCATGTTATTTTGGAAATTTTCAGGGGAAAACATCGCGACTGTGGGTCTCGTGTGTAATATCGCATGCTGTTTCAGGTCACTTCCGACTCACTTTTACTTCATTATTTGTGTGGGAGATGTTTGATATTTGTCGTCATTTCGTTAAATGGTAAGAAATCAGATTTTAATACTTTTGCTTGTTTATTCTGTAATAAACCTTGCAATGAGACTATATAACATGCGCAATGATTTTCAGATTACGTCAATTATATGTCTGATATTACCTTCACGAGAACATTTAAATCACAACGCTGAAGAAAATGTGTGCTCTTAAAAGCTATTTAACAGCAATTAATAATCAATTTTTTAATCTATGCAAAACGGACAGCTTTGTGTAGTAGTTTTCCCTCATTCTTTATATCTGAATTGTATCTCTTCTATTTTTATGATAATTAAGAACTCAGTTTATATGTTGAAGTGAAACTGTGCTTCATGTGAACATGTAATGAGCTGGTTTTTATTGGTATTATGAACTTTATCTTACCTATACTTATACGGCTGGGATTTATGCGGCTGAAATAAGTATTAAAAACGGCATCCGTCTTATGCAATTTCCTACTAAAATGAACAAGAACCGTCAGACGGAAAAAACACAAACAAGTGTTCTGGTAATGTCGGAAAGCTCTCTGTATTAAAATTATAAACTAAATTGCATCATAGTTAAAAATCAGGTAATTACGCAGCTGTTTGTTAAAGCAATTATACAAAAATGCATGAAGCTCATCTAGTTTATTTGCAGAACCTTTTTACCTGTTGGCTGCATTAATCGTACAATTTTATAAGATTCAGTTTAATCATATTTCATGTCTTGCAAAATAAAGCAAACAGTATAGAGTTAGCTAGGTTTATAGTTTTGTGCAGCCATACTAGCCACTTAAACAATATTTTACACATTAATGAATAATTATCTTAGCATTGGAGTGGGTTGGCCTGTGTTATTGTTTAACTGACATTAGATCACAGGTTTTTCCCATTGAACAATAATATCTAAATCGAAAAGAGGTGATTTAATGGTACTAAAATCTAAATTTAAGCCTAAACCAGTCCTTTTGCAGGGAGTTAAGGACCTTAATGTATTATAAAAATTTAATCCACGTGAGAGTTACGGGCCTACCAAATATCAGGCGAAGTAAATCGTACTCTTGGACCACAGTCTTGTGTCTGCCCTGCTGAGGCAAGCAATATTTCTGACTTCAGCGGAGACCAAAAACCAAATTGAAATGTCTGCTGGGTTTGATACACTAAAGCGGGAAAAGGCACAGGAAAACCAAAATTGCCAAAGAAGCCTCTCCTTTCCATTCGGCACTGGTCTGCTCTATAAAGACATCTGCTGATGACACACTTTGGGGAGGCCTGCTCAAGCAGAGACTGGTGGAGAATTGCTATAACGAGATTGAACCACATGACTGCTTGCCGAAGAAGCCTGAAGCAGGCTCCCACACAACCTGCTGCCAAGCAGGGTGCCACACAGCACAACAACCACCACAAAAATGCCCTTGCACTATTCTTCAAAACACGGGCTGGTCGGTCAGAGTGGCAGATACCATTATAAAATGAAAACCAGCTGACATGTTATTTCTGTTCCCACTCAACAGGCAAACACTTTTCTGACATGGACTGCATTTCTTCCTGAATAAAACAGGACAGATGACTTGATCTGTTTTCTAAACCTTTAGGCCAAAAGGACAGGGCATGAAGAACACATTAATGTACCTAGAAGTAGGTAAAGTTCAGTTGCACTCATTGTGGAATGAGGTTCTCAATTCAACTCAAAAATGTAGGCATGCAACCAAAGTGTATTATAAAACATGTAGCGTAACAAAGGTCAAAGGATTGTTGCCATGTTGCTGCAAATTAGAAAACAAATAAGCTACTTGGCTCCAGTCACCTGTAATTTCTCATTCCAAATTCTGTCAATTTCAATGAACATGTATACAGTGACATCTGAGATTGCAAGTTTATGTACAGAGCTATAATCGTCATTATGTGTCTATAGGCTCATACAATTAACTCATCTGCTGAGCTAAACAAAACAAAAGTCAAAATTATTAGCTGATTTGTTTTTCTTTTTCATGTATTCTTTTGAACAGTATTTCCTATAGTGTTTTTTTTCTGGAGAAAGTCTTATTTGTTTTATTTCGGCTATGATAAAAGCAGACTTTTTTAAAAACCATTTTAAGGACTATGTTATTTTTTTCGATTGGCTACAGAACAAACCATTGTTATACAATGATTTGCCTAATTACTCTAACGTCCCTAATTAGCCTAGTTAAGCCCTTAAATTGCACTTTAAGCTGAGTACTACTATCTTGAAAAATATCTAGTACAATATTATGTACTGTCATCATGGCAAAGATAATAGAAATCAGTTATTAAAACTATTATGTCTTAGACGTGTAAAAAAAAAAAAAATCTTTCCTGCGTTAAAAAGAAACTGAGGGATAAATATACAGGGGAGCTAATACTTCAGCTGTGCTATTACCTCTGACTTCAACTAGTGTGTGTGTGTGTGTGTGTGTGTGTGTGTGTGTGTGTGTGTGTGTGTGTGTGTGTGCGCATATACAGTGCTCAGCATATAAGTACAGCCCTCACAAATCTTTCTTTTAAATTCTTCTTTTTAATAGGAAGCTATACATTATATTTGTGCATTTACATTAGATTAGTCAGTACTGAAGCCAAATCTGGAGCTTATCTAACAAAAAAACTTGTGATACGGGTCCAAAAACTTGTACACCCAAATCCTTACATTATAGAAAAACATTAAATACAAAATTTTAAATGGAAAAACCAAGAGAAGCAAAACAAATGGAAAAATTTAGTTGAAATTATTTTGCTTAAATTTAATTGTCTTATCTTTCAATTTCTAAATATGTTTTGTGACTAAAATATATTTTTAATAAATATATGTTAAATAAATCACTGTTTAAAAAATTCACTGTAAAATTTATAAAAATAATCATTTTCAAAATGTGTTGTACTTCATTTTGCTGAGGACTGTATATATATGTATACATATACATATGTGTGTGTGTGTGTGTGTGTGTGTGCGCACCACATACTCTCTCTTGAAATCTGACATCCCAAAACATTGTAGCAATCCCGATGCCATCAACTTAGGTTTTGTGGGAATTGCTTTTGAAGCTTTAATCTGGAAAAAAGGTAAGGGCTACTTGTCTGACACTTTTTGGCATGGTGCGGGGCTGTCACAGGTGTAATTTCTCAGACCAACCATTACATTGAAAGCTGTCATATAGTAGATACAAAACCTAATTTTAATTTAGCTAGCAAAAGTCACTAAAGTACATTAAAGTTGCATTTAATTATTTTAAAATAAATTTCACAAATAGGACACCATATACATATTTTGCAACTGTAAGACTGAAAGCAGCACTATTTCATGGAAAACCAAAGATGCTAGATAGAAATCAGAATGACAAAGAATCTTGGGAAAACCGCACTTGATGTCTGACAACAAAAAAGCTGAAGCAGGCAGTGCTGCAGACAATGTCAAACTATTTGCATCACCATGAGTGAACGCTGACTTGCGGCACCTTTGATTCAGATAACATCACTACAGAATAAGGCTGAAGCGATAGATAACTGCATAACAGGTTTATGGTTCCCCTGACAGGCACACATGAGGTTCCAGCGAAAGAAGGATACATTAAAAGGTGTGCATGTGCAAGTGTGTGAGTGAAGGAGAGAGAGAGCTTAATTGTTACGTTTTGAGCATCCTTCTCTCACTGTCTGCCCTAATTAATTTCAAAATAAAGGGGAAAAAGTGCTCCAGCAATAGTGGGGTTAAAATGTTCTTTCGGCGCATTTTCCAGATCAAGTGAACAATACTTTGGCTTTGAAATTTTAAAACCCCTCTGTCTTGGTAATGACTGAACTGGATAATTAACTATCATGGCAAATCAGCAAGCAGTCAATCAAAGCAGCAGTTTTTTCATTCTTTTAACTGAGGTCAGGGGGGCAAGTACAAAGGCACTGTGAACATTTCATGAGCTCCTGAGGAGCGATATCAGTTGAAAATGCATGTTACCTTCAGACAGTGTTTGGTAAATGTGCCCCATGTGTGATTCTCTTAAGTGTGGCCTCAACTGCTGACCTCTCACCTCTGCTCTCTGTCTTTCTGCACTCTAGGTCAGAGTCGTCGCACAAACACAGATGAAGCGCATCACCTTTCGCCAGCATGGCACAGGTAAGCCTGGCCCCGACCGAGCTGCTGGACCAGGGGTCAGGCTTGTGGCCCAGCATGCAACTGGTCTCGGTCACATCAGGTCCTTACACTCCAGAGATGAGCCTGCAGACGGACGTTGTCTGAGACCTTTGATGTGGGGCTGCGAGAGGTTCTGTTACTGTGCCTTTAATTAGGTCCAGCAGCTTTCCCTTCCTGGACCAAAACTCCACTATCTGCCTAATCTCTTGCAGGTGGCTATGACAAACAGACCAAAATCAGCCATCACTCTCAGGTGTGCGATGTCCAGGGAGGAGCCATCGCCACATCAAGCTTTCCTCTGTTTGGCACAAACAAGTCTGATGCACAGAGGCTGAGCTAACACAGCCCAGTTGCAGTGAGACATGGTTAAGATTCACAGTTCCATCACTACGACCAGCATGTTCCCAGCTTACAGCCAAGCGGGTGTGAAATTATGCTAATATATGCTTCCAGTCTATCATCTTTTGGCAAATTTGATGGCCCAATTTCTTAAACATTATCCTATAAAGACATATTAGTAGGTTTGAGACTGGTAATATGTTGGGACGAACTTTCACAAGGCAATAGGGCATGCTATTCTGACTATTCGCACTTTGTTTCAGGATTAGTAAAAGTTAAGCTCATTCAGCTGTATTTGTGGTATAATGTTGATGACCATAAAATTGTCTCAGAATTGTGACAAAAATTTGGGTTAAATTGAAGCAATCAGGACAAACTGAGAAGAATGAGGTTCTGACTGTCCAACGTTCAACAGTGTACTGTTGTCACAAAACATGGACATCATGTTAACTATTTTACAAAAACTGCTTAGCAATGATTCCAGTGTTAAGTTATATCCGATTGGATGACTTTATTGCCATGACAACATAATGCTTACACAGCTGTAAAATGATTTAAATAGCATTACAGCTCAAACAAGTTTTAACCTAAGATTTCTACTATGGCCTTTTATAATATTATAATCTTTTCTAGCGTTTCTGATTTTAAATCCTCCAAAAATTGGCTCTTTTCACATCTATTGTAAGCGCCTCAACATAACCCCCTTTTTCAGAAATAGAAGGACGACTTTAACATTATGCAACAACTTGAGAATCTTATGTAAAAAAAAAAAGTTGTGCACACAGCAAAAATTCATCTAACATCCACCTGCATTTGTCACACCCAAGCATTTCTGCACTGAACTTGACTAAAGATGAAATATGGGAGGCTGGTTAGGCATACTAATGCCATGGATTCATTAAATTAATAGGGTCTTATTCCCCTTACCACGGGTTCACAGATGCCCTTTGAGTTTGCCGGGGCTAGAGGGTGCGCAGCTCTTTGAAAGCCCTTACCGGCATATCGAGCGCATTTTAATACAGTCCTTTTGAGGCTCCTGGTAGGATGCAGAGTAACTCCTCGCCTTTAAGTTTCCGCACCTCTCCATGTGATCTCGTCAGATAGCCACGGCGGTGTCAGATCAGGCCCAGGCTGCACATACACTAGGGGGATGGGGAGGGCCATGCAAGGCAAATTAGACCAGCGGTGTTCGTTTTCTAAGTAGAGGCCATTCTTTCCCGAAGACGTGAGTCCTTGAGAAGCAGGCGCTCAGGAGTGCTTTGATGTGGAAAGGTGCCCAGTTTAAGGCTCTAAAACAGGAGGCTTTGGGAGAGATTCAGTAGGATTCCCTTCGGTGATCAGCAGGGGAGGCTGCCCTCTCGTTGGTCAACTGTGCATACTGTACAGATTTAATTACGCCGAGAATGAAGTGCGTGGTCCAAAGAAATCCTTGATGCTGCCCGTTACCACTGTCGTACCACATTCAAAACAATCAAGCCACAATAGGAGCCAAGCTTCATGATCACAGCCCGAAAAAAATCAAAGAGGCTTCAGAAAACAACAACAAAAGGAAATGCTATGAATGTTCAGGGAAAACAATATTGTTTTCCACAGCAGTTGTGCCTTTGCTAATCTTTCCATTTTTTTGAATGCACAGAAGGACAAAAAGAAAAGGATTTCAATGACAGAACGACTCAGCTTGTTTCAGTCTATGAGCTTCAAAAATATGTTTAATTAACAGACACAGCATATAGGGATATGTCATATTTATGGCTTTACCCTACAATAATAGATGCTTTAACAAGACATAAGATTTTGAAAGACACTCCAAAGACATACACAAGTGCAAGTCATTCACAGAAAAGGACAGAGGGATACTTCAGTCAAAAATAAAAATGTACTCACCCTCAAGTGATTCCACATATTACTTTTTCTTTCCTGTTAAACACAAAAGATGATATTTTGAATGTTAATGTACAGTTTTACCAGTATTCCTCAAAATCTATCTATATACAAGTAAGTTTGGAACCAAATGTAAAGGTTGGGAGCATTTTTCCTTTTTGGGTGAATTACCCCTTTTAAAAAAAGCGCTCTTCCTGCAACAGCTGGGTTCAATAAACATATTTCAGATAATGCAAATTAAATCAAACAACCAATACTACTGTAGCCTACTTGTTAACATACATCATGCTGTCACTGCAAATGGCGTCATGTATTTGTTTACAGACCAGCTAGCGTTTTTTGTTGTTTTTTTATTTGAAGGGTTGACTTTTGAAGCAGTGGTGTTTGCAGTTGCATAGAGACTGTGGCTTGGATAGAAACCAGGCACACATCCCACCGACCCCAGCGTTTTTAAAAGCCTTTTTTCCCTTTGGTCTTTGCACAGTGGTGTGGCAACTATGGATCACAGGTGGGAGTCTGCCTCTACCAAATAAGCTTCCTCACTAAGGACGGGATTTGGCGCTGTTATTTTTCTATTAGGGCTGAATAATGCTAAGCCTTTAGAGGCCATCTTTCTGTTGCTATGGTAGCCCATATTTCCAGCAGGGTTGCGACCCTCAGTGCAAAGCCAAATATCTTAGACCCTGCGAGGATCACAAATGTGGACTTACAGTTATGGAAAACAGTTTAGATATGACCGAACATTTTAAGACTGAGTGACAAGTTTATTGGGCTCCTTTTTCTTCCCTTCTTTCTTTTTTAATTCATGTCAGTCGCGAATTCAAAAATCACTTGTCACATCTCCAAGTGCACGTCTCCACGCCCATCTGTTGGTTCATACACCAGTTGGATTTGAAATTTCTCTCACATTAGCCAAAATGTTAACAGTGTTTTTGAGAGAAAAAAATCCCGCTAATTTACAGATATTTACAGATGAGGCGCGTACTGTCCTAATATGAGCAGAAGCCACATTTTAACCAAATAAATCTACTGGTAGTAAAAACAGATAACAAAAATCTTCAAAGACTTGCCTTGTATGTTTGGGGGAGACGTGAACTAAACAGTCTTGCTTGCGTTACAACAGGAAATGACCGACAATGATTTCAAAATAGTATAAGCCTGTTTCAGCGCCAGTAATCAGTGTTCACTTTATTCATTTCATTTTATTTGATTAGAAGTCGAGATAACTGCAAGTCTAAAAGACAACAAACGTTTTTGGAAAGCAAATTATATATGTATTTTCAGATAGATAAAAATGGAAAACAATATATAAGTAGAGTACAATAACATAAGGGAAATAAATGTGACCTGTGGATTGTCCTGTTTTGTAAAATTTAATAAACGTTCTTGCAAAGTAGCAGACTTTTTTGTGTGAAATGTATTCATTCACTCAACCATATTAGCTTACTTTAAGCTAATATAAATTAGCTAGAATAGGGTTAACAACTGACAAATATTAAGTCTGATTCGGATGGTGCACTGTAGTTTAACTTAAATTAACTTGATCTCAAATCAAATTCCAAATACAAGAAAAATTCCTAAATTTGTTTTATTACAAACACACTTCTCGATTGAGGAGGATGATGGTGCTTAGTTATTTTAAAAACAATGATTTCACAATTTGTAATTTCTAGTTGTTGGTGTTAAGTCACCTTTACTCTCCATCATAGTATTTGAAGGCTTGTTTTTTCACAAAATTATAAACTTAATTTTTAAAGCAGTCTTTAATTTTTGTGTAGCTCTAATCTTGTTATTTCGTTTTGTGCTTTGTGTTGATCTGTAAAGCTACTGCATTTTGCTTACCTATACTTTTTCCTTAACAAACGTGTTTGTTTACTTCCCGCTAAAACAAAATATCAAGTTCTAAAAAGAAAACAGAAAAGAAAAATCAATCACAGAGTTTGATGTTGAGACTGACAGCACTGAGCTCGCATCGCTCAACAGGATATAAATGTTGAAGGAGCAGAAATATTTTTGGGGAGGCTATCAGATTGCGCCATGGAAAAAGTTAGCAGAGAGAGTACTTGATAGAACCTGTTGAACTTGACTCCGGGGGAACTAAAGGCTAAGCTATTTCCAAAAAAACAAAAACATTAGTGCAGCTTGGAACATTACCTCGTCAAGTCCTTTAACTTTAGATTGGAGATTCACAGTTTTAAAAGATCAAATGCTCGCATTTCTTACTAAGCATGCCGAGGTGTCCTGCTGTTAAAGGGGCATTTTGAGCTACCGCCTTACTAGGATGCTCAGATTTTGCTTTACCTTAATCTCCTTTTCCTCACTATGTCCTCATACCGATTTCGAGATGCAGGACTGGCGCTTGATCTACCTGTATTACATTATTCCTATTCGAGTCTTCGCCAGGTGACACTGATGTGGTGTGTCGCCTACTGTTCTTGGAGTATATTTCAAACAGTGTGCATAAATGCGACAGAATATCGCGCCTGTTCTGCCACAGTGCGCTTAGGTGTTTTAAAGTCGCAGTTTGCCATACTCGGGTCTGGTTGACAAAAATGACATACAAGCTTTAAGAGTTTCCGTTGTCAATGTAGCGCGTAAAAGTTCTCTGGGAGTGTGATTTCACCCGCTTTGATGTACAGGCCCCCAGAGAGCAGGTTTCAGCATTCTGCTCCACCTAACTCTTCCCTGCCTAGTGAGAAAACCCCAGTCCTCTGACTGCTAATGAACCCCTTTTGTGACATCTTATTTCCCTGCTCGGCAGTTTTATATTATTATTATTATTATTATTATTATTTTAGAATTATTTTCATGTTGCGCTGTGTTAAAACAATAGTCGTTCTCCACGAGACATAAAACACATGAATAAGTGCTTCATAGAAATGGGTTTGGTTAATTTTTTTTTATTATTGCTACTTCGCAGAAGCGCAAAAGATCTGACTTTGGGAAAATAGAACATGATTATTCGTGCTAATTTAGGTGAAAAAAAAGATTGTGTGAATAAATAACCTTTATTTAAAGCATGCTTTCAGGTAGGCTGCTGTTACGTTGTAATGAGAGTTAAATAAAGTTCAAATATGCATCTCAAATATATGAAAACCCTATGAAAAATAATATATATGTCATCTTTTTTATTATTGTATCAACAAGAAGCGAGTCTTGTGCTCCCCCACAGCGCAGCTCGCCTCACCTGTGCCACCTGCTCGCGTCATGCAGGGACACCTGCATTAGGGAGGACATTTCACTTTTTATGTATCTGAATATACATGACAGAAACACGATAATGAGCAGAATTTATAGTAAGAGGGTAGGAAATTTGTTTATTTGACAACTCAGTATAGCATATATGTGAAAAGCGTGATGTCAATATGCTTAGACAAGCAAATAAAGAGTTATGCTGTTTTGATTTTATAATGCATCAAATAATAAAAATAAGCTGTATTTATATTTTTATTCTTTATTTGTATGAGTTGTTGCTTTCATGTTTTATCATTAATAGTTCTGAACAAATGTAAGCTGGTGTCTGTTAAACAGAAGAATTTGCTAATTATATTTTATCTTATTAGTTTTTTATTGCAATCCTTAATTAATTAATCATTGTAATGTGCTTGAACCAAGGATTTCGAAAGTAAATTATACATCACATCTAACGGAGTGTCGTGGGTAGTCTTTTACAGTGTTATTATTATTATTATTATTATTATTATTATTAAATAAAATCATGCAGATTATTTTAATTTAGTTATTTCGTTTTAATTTAATCATGTTTTGTGTGCATACTTATACAATTGCTTTATACTTTTTTAAAAACAAACAAAAAACAACAACTAGCGTTTTATGGCATTTGTTGGTCATCTGTTTTGCAGAAGTGTTACTTTTGAAAGTGTGAAAAGATCAATAAAGAGTCTAACATGGTCCTTTGTCAAAATATTGTTATACTTTTTAACTCCCACAGGAACAAGCAATCAAATAAAACAAATAATTTTCATGGAGAGAGAAAAAAATCATGGAGTATATTTTAGGGGGGGGGGGATGCTATGAATAATAATAATAAATCAGATCTGCATACTTATCAAAGGCTTTATTTCATTTAAAGCAACTTTTTCAGTGATACAATGTTGTAATTTCCTGATATGCGCAATATCAAACAAATCAATTTAATTGTAAAATGTTTCAAATTGCTATAAATACTCGTTAAAGACAAAGTTACGGTGAATTATTTATATGGGAAACCTTCATTTTCTTTAAAATAATAATGTTTTATTAATAATAATAATAATCAATAAATAAACGCAATACTTTTGCTTTCTACAAATTTATTTAGTTTCCCAAATATCAGTTTCTTGTCCTTAAATCACTCCTCAAACCACCCAATAGTTAGAAGTGAAGTTGATCAGGTCAGAGGACCCATTAAATGACACTGCTTAAAAGAAAAAAAAAAGTCTTCTGTCAACGTATAATTGACCGTTTCGATTTAATAAGATGCTTCAATTCGCGAGGAGATAAAAGGCAAGGCCCTCTTTTACACCATGTCAACACAGCCCTATGCATTGTGTAAATTACTTGGATTATCTTGCCTTTGTAAGCAGAACAGTGGACCCTCAAAATGCACACAAGACTTAATTCAAGTCTTCTCTCCAGCCACTCGAGCTTAACTTCTACCTCTAAATTTAAGGACATGTCACCCCCATTCATTATTCAGACAACGTCGAATTATCCAGAAGAAGAAAAAACTTTTTACTTGATTATTTGTTGGCACGTTATATGATTCCCAGCTAAAGGAAAAATTTGACTTTATTTGTCAGTCTTGGCTACGTCCAGAGCATCACTTTCTGCGTATCATTTAAGATTATTTCATACAATTTTTATTTATAATTTGTATTCACCCTGGTGGCATTGTTACTTAGCTACCGAAAAGCACAGTAAAGTTGTTTACGCTGAGAGCACACTGACAACTGACAAATATTTACTGTGCGAATTGAACAGCTCAAAAGTTTCACGTTGTTTATTTAAATTTCCCTCGGGCTCCAGCAGCCTAAATCCGGGTATGATGGCAAATCTCTTCTGATAATCAAATACATCTTCATTGGTTTGTCAAACTCTGTCTTGCTGAGTTAGTTCACCGTGTTAGTCTGAAATCAATCGTCATTCTAGGAATAATTTCGATAAGACTACTTGTCTGGAGCAAAAGCACAATAACAAGACACAATAACAGCAATAATAATAATAAATGCCACAAATCCCAAACACTGACAAAGATTTGGAGTTTTAATTTAGAGGTCAGGGTTAAGAAAGCGAGTTAGGGAAAGTTTGATCAATGTCCAAAACATTAAAATGCGCCAAAGATTAATTTATACGAGTTATTTTTAATTTAGAGACCTAAAACATGTCAGCCATGAACAAGCTAAGAAGTCACAAATATATATAACGGATGAATGGACACCGCAAGCATCTCCAAACACCTGTGCCCTTGAAATTAATTAATTAATTAATTTATTTATTTATTTATTTTGGTTTTTATTATTATTATTATTAGTATTTGCATTTATGGTTTCATGAAAACCATTAACATCACGAGAAACTTTCTATTCCATAAAATGTTCTTTAGCTTTTTTGCACTGAAAATCACTAAGAAAACCCTGTCTTTGATTACCTGTTCGTTAAAAGTAGTTGTGTCCTTGCAAAAATAAAATAACTTTTTTTTGCACCTTTTTTAATATAAGAGGTTATTGGGTGCGTTCCTGTCAATTAATGTTACGTGTAGTCTAAATACTTTTCAAAACCTGGCAAAATAAAATTAAATGGAGAGAATCCGCATGTTAAGTTCATTCCTTCCTTCTTTGCAATTCATTCTGGTTCATTCTCGCCAATGATTCGAAAAGTAAAAGTAAATTAATGAGAATCTAGTCCGCAGGTGTTGTCCCTGAAATAGACAGGGTACTGAACACAAATTGAGGGGACGTGCATGGATCTGTCAGGGTCCGCCATAAACACTCGACTGAAGTCCAAGAAGGTCCGCTAATTAGTAGCCTGTCTCTCTGGAGGATTTACACGTTCCTTGTTGCCAAATGTCTGTGTTGTATGTGTAGTTGTGGGCCTGCATCGATGAAAACTTGAAATGGGCACAAAAAGACTGAATGCAGGAATATGCCTACATTACAACCCACAGAAATTATTAACGTAGTCTAAATCTAGGAAAGCACGTTACTGTCCAATATTTGTCACTCGTGTACACAAACATTCTGAATATCTGGACCGCTTCGTGGAGTTTGCATATGATGAAATATTGTGAAGGTGAATGAGTAAAAAAAAATTAAAACGTGAATCGGCAATAAACTATTAGCTTTAGACTTTGATAAAAAATAAAAATTCAGGCAGACAAGGTTGTTGTATCTTAACAAATACTCGATTTGATGTTAAATGCTCCAATAATTTAAACTTTTATTTGCTACAAATTTTCTGTGAACTTTTTGTGAAAAACCTGTTTGATGCAAATGGGTTTTCTATGCAGGTTTGAGATCAAAAGGTATTTTAAAATGATATTGGCCCTGCTATTAATAAAAGATGAACAAAAGTTCATTCAAACTGAGAGGGTTTGTTGTTTCTGCTCATTATTTTATAAACTGTTATTTGAGCTTCTGTTTTATAGCCATCATTTTTTAGGGATCTGTAAAAAAAGCTTTGAAGTGTATTAAATTGTGGTGTGTATTTGCCAGTCCTTATGCCCTAGTTGTTTCTAGGTACACAAATGCAGATTTTTAAAGAGTTTTTCATCATATGTAATGTTTTAAGAGATTGTCACAGGATGTTTCATACTCTAAAGAGTTCACTCTATTTTAACATTTGTGCCATGAACATGTACCTCTGATCATGAGGTTATAGAATCTGCTGTTTCTCTCACACATCCCAGATGTTTTATTTAGCATTTTCAGTAATGCATTTTAAGTTTCTGGTATTTTCAAAATTTTTTGGATGATTTGTACATTGATCTTATTCTCATAATACTCTCATAATTTAGAACAATTTTATGTGCATTGTCAACAGAACTTAAAGAAAAATTGTCCAAATAGACAAACTGGAAAGTAAACTGCCCACGTGTAAATTGTGCAACAAATTAAGATGTGTCCACTGTTCAGTGCAGATTGAGTGCTAAAATGTTTCCAAATTGCCATTATGAAAAATTAGGAACAAGTCTTAATCTTGATTCTCTCTCTCCTTCTTCATCTCTTTTCTGCACTCTACTGTCTAAGAACAACAGAAAAGTTAGTAATTCTTAACACCACTTCTGCCATATTGGCTGTCTCCTCAGCACTGTAAACAATTAAGGAAGCACTCAAAATCTCGTTTAAAAGAACTGAAACAAATTGACACAAAATAATGCTATGCTTCATATAATCCATAAACACAGTGACACAAGAGTGTGAGATTGAAAGTTTTCCTATGTGCTTCAATTCAATAAACTCTAAAAATACATTTAGTATTTAGAGCTGACATTATTAGCACAATAATAATTTAGTTATTTTGAGTTATTTTGTTTCGCTTAGGTTCTCTTTTCGATTCATAGTTCCTCCAGCTTATTACAAAACAGTAATACTTTATATGCCAGTAACATTGCTGCAGGAAGATGATTTTTGTGAGCTTTTTTGACAGGCAAAAGTAATTTGTTAAATGTAACAAGTTTGCTTTTAATATTCACTGGCTGAAGATAAGGAGAATAAAAAGATACAGGGATGCTGTCTAAACCCAGAAGTGTAATTCAACATTCAAGATTTTCCTGTAGGTTTTTAAGATATTTTTTAGTTTATGACATAATGTGTGTGTGATAGACCTAAATCTACCAAACTTTAATGTTTTACTCTACAATGTAAATTAGAAAACACAAAACTGTTGTGTGTGTATAAGTTTATAAACATTTTAGTGTGCAAATCTGCAATTTCATACATTTAACTATCAGTTTGTAATGCTTGAAATTGTCCTAATTTTGTTCATCAATTGAACATCCTCATTATAAAACCATATTGGAAAATCTAGAGGGAACCCACATCAAGATATTCTTCTGAATTGGATGTCATTCCTGCATAGACACTACCACACAGGCACTTAAAAATGTTGGGTTGTTTTAAACCAATTTTAGGCTAAAAGTGTTTTGAAAATAACTGCATGAAAGAGCGATACTCAAAAATTCTCCTTTCATTAGTATCCACTTTAAGTTTAACACAGAAATGAGCATCCATTAGCCACTGGAGATATGTAATTAGAAGAAAACAAAGTGCAGCAAACAGTAAAAAAAGGTGCGACAAATCAGTGTCCATGAACATGATAAATCAAATTACATTTCCACAAATGGAAATAAACCACTCTTATGTTAAAATCAAGGAAGATTTAGAACAATTCGAGGGTGAGAACATGATGACAGAACTTTTGAGAGTCTGGTCTGTTTTGTTAATGCTCAAGACTCAAATGTGATCAAATATCAATCAATTCTAGTACAAAGTTCTACGTTTTAAATTGTAATAAAGACCAGCCTTTGCCATGTTCTCTTTCCAGTCATGAATAAAAGCTCATAGAGCTTCATCTCACAATGTTTGCATGAATGAAAACAGTCCAAATAATGCAGCTTCCTCTCTATTCAAGCCTATACACAAGTGTGTGTGCGTGTGTGTTGTCTCTGGCCCCATTAGTTGGGTTTAAAGGTTTAACCTCAATGTCAGGGAGCCACATCCTCGACTCACACCAAGCCTCATTCCTCCTATGGCACGTTAGTGTTTCATTTCCCCTCCCACACATTTGTCCTAAGAGGGCAATTAAGGAAACAAACGTTTTTCCCCAGATTAGGCGGCTGCCAGCTTTGCATACTAATGTAATGCCAAGTGGTAACAAATAGTGAATGCTCTTAATTACAGACACTATTATCA